CAGACGTGTGCTCTTCCGATCTCCCCCCCAGCGAAATGCAGCCGATCGATATAATTTTCCTAAGTGACCTGTTACGACATGTATTATACATATGTACACCTAAATTCGCCTGAAGCAGTCACGCTAAAATTAAGCGTGATAAATTCACTTGTTGGAAATATTGGCACAAATCTGCAGAAGATAAAGTAAATAAATAAGGTAAACAACGTTAAATATAATAAATAAATCAAACATTCTAACGGTACACCTATTGCAACGTAGAGAAGAGAAAAGAAGAGTGCGATTGCATTCCGAGTTTATATCATTTGTAGTGTCTACAATTTCAAGCGAAGAATGCCCCCGTTACGTTCTTTCGCTGATCCATATCCGCATTTCAACAGACACATAATTTCGAAGATCTAGCAGAAATTCTCTTGCGCACCGAAGCCGAGCTTTAGTAATTCTCTGAAACGATTTCGCTGGAATTGCTTCATTCGATTTCCAGGGAGACCGACCCTCCACTTTGGCTCGTATGCCTCATTCAAGTACATACTTGCACCAACTTCTTACTTGAGAGAATCTAATTTACCACACTTACGTGCCGCAAAATTTAAGACGTAAGCTGTGAGGAGCCATATTTCTTTACAGTAATTGCGCATTGAACTAGTTTTATTATTAAATGATAGCTTTAAAAAATGTGATATCGATAGTTCTCGCTACGCAAGATAATAAGTTTTGAAAAGCGAACAAAATAGATAAATATATACAAAAAATAAATGAACAAGGCTCGGCCTTAAGAAATTTTCTCAACAATTTGTCTTGTTCCTTTGAAAAGCCGCTTGAATTTCATTTAAATAATCTGAAATTATATTCCCTTCAACTAAAAAATGGAACACTATATTATATTAAATGTTTTGAATTCAGTATCCTTCTATACATATATGTTCCTATATAATACGTGCAATATTAAAATTCAGCACGCATTTTAGTCACACATATTTCATGTATAATTCGTCATCATATCTGCGTGACAGAATCATTATTTTATTCAGAACGTACGACAGAAATTGGAGCACGTGAATCCTGGTTGAGCGCACGTGAAGAAAATAAATCACCAAATCAAAACAGTTTGTGGAGGGTGTTGGCGAAACGGGTGAGGCGAGTACTAACTTATCTCCAGGTGAATGCATGAATCCCATATTTGAAATACTTTTCACCGTATCGTGGCTACCCTTCACTGGGGAAACTGGCGGCAAGACGACAAGGGACACGATCGATGAGCGGGTGTTTCGCCATCTGTTCGCCCGGACCGCTTGGGAACTCGATTCAACGCTCTACACTTCGTGCATAACTTATCCACGGGGACGTGCTAAACGTATTAGGATCGTTTTTATGCTCGGCCAATGGGCAAAGATTTACCGACTCGCGGGCGAGCTCGATACCTGTCTAACGTGCCCGTGAATAAATACTGAGCCCGTCAATCATCGCGTCCCATTGCAGAAATGCGGATCGACCAATTTAGGATCGTTTCACCGCAGCTCGACAGAGTTGTCAACGACATGACATAAATTGAATATTTATCACATCTATATACCAGCATTGCGTAATAATAAAAGGAACGCTCGAGGGATCCTTAAGTCACAGGGGACTCGACGCGGTACTCGAATCACTACGAAGACTCAACGGTCCTCTAAAATTCCGTTTCCGGATTTTCGAAACGCGTTTCAAATGTTATTTATATATACGTGTGCAGGTCACATTATTATCGTACACATTTGTAGGTACATCTATAAAATGTAGGACAAAAGTTATCAATGCAGGCAAAAGGAATGTAATGGAATTGAAGCAACTCGAAATCAAAGCTCTTTAGCGTGGTAGCTACTTCATAGAAATGCTGTCAATCGGTGGTGATTAACGTCAACACCCCGCCGATGAATAACTGCAGTTTAAATGGAGATAATGGTATTCACAGAATACGCCGTCAATAATTATTACATTACGTATGGTTTCGTTGCCTAGTTAAATTACTATCGATTTTAACTTGCATTGACAGAAACGCGCGCAATCGATTGCATTGTTCTCGCGTCCCGCACGAAGCCCTGTTGTGAACGTGGCTCACGCATTTTTTTTTTTTATTGATTTTGATCGCGCGGGCAAGCGCTTTGTTGTACGGCTGTCATAAATAATCAGAGCGCCAGATAATCAAGATAAATTCTTTGTCTGAAAAATCCAGCTCGTTCGACGAAGGCATACGTGAAATGCACTCCAAAGAGATGCGCGCCATGTGACCTGCATTCCACTCTTCATATTGTTTCTAGCATGGCGACTTTTCTTCATTGCGCGGCAGACGGCAGCAAACTTCTAGTGCGACACATCGCGAAACGGTAAACAACAACAGCGTTGGCATCGTTTCATATAAAGGGGGATGGGCGGATGAAGGAGGGGAGGAAATCGGTGCGGGAATTTTAATAGATAATTTTTCAGAGCTGCTAAGTTATAAATTCCCAAAATTTCTCAAGTGTTATTATCAAGGAGTATCTACGATCTCAACTTCGCTCTTTAACTTTAGCCCTTTGGTTACAGCGATGTACGATACGAAATTCCCATAAAACTTTTCAAGCAATTTCTGTCCAAATAATAATTCCGTTTAAATAAATGTTGCAATAAAATACGATTCATTTTTACCTTAATTATCAAACTTTACAAAAGAGGATTATTATCACAATGGTCGTAGAAATATTTTCAACTTTGCGCGTCGGTTTAAGACGTTAATCTTACCTTCACTTCCATCTCCCCTGGTTAGAGCCAACTCTTTTCATCATAATTAAAAGCGTAAAATCCCATAAAAGCCTTCGGTATTTCTCGCGATCCCGTTCGATGCCGCGGAGATTCGACTTTACTTTTAAAAGGACTGAAGTGGTTCCACGGCCGGGAACGTACGTCAAAAGCAATTAAACTACAATCGTGCCTAATGGCGAGCTAGATAACCACTTCCACAGCGATCAGTACCGAGCAGCGGCGCCTGCCACTACGTAGTAGATGTGTGCGATACCGTAAGATTGTGTGGCGTATACGCGCACGTAAAAGATGTATACGCCTGTATGTGTAACGCGCGACCTCGTCGCGTCGTGAACTGATTTAGTTTGATCGAAACCATAATTCTGCGAGACGGGAATAAACGAGCGCGTCGAGCACCAGCGCAAGATTGAATAAATAGTCAATAACGTAGGGATCCCGAATAGAGATCCATTGTGAAGGTGACGGATAGTGCGAGGGACTGTTGCGAGTAATCGAGTGTACAGCTCCTCAGGAGGTCTCCTGCCTGACGAAAAGGCACTTGCGCGTCACTTGGTTGACGAACAAAATATTAGTACAGACAACAATGCGGAGGAAAGCAGAAATACGAAATATTCCATTGCGTTGATCCTAATGGAACAGACGCGGTACTTGGAATATTGAGGTCTACTGAATTTTATATTGCACTCTGTTGGCATAAACGCACAATTTAGACATAACAAGATATTTATATTTTCTTCGTACATAATTCAAAAATCTTTCTTACTCAATGGCATTCTTATATAGTCTCAAATTTCTGCTTCATCTGAAGATCCTGTTTTTTCCTTCAATTCCCGCGAGAATTTGATCGCTTTTAATCACACTTGTTTTGTAACTAGAACGTATCGAATAGATACCATTTAATTCTTAGCCGTCGTACCTATTTCAACGCGCGGTAACTCTTAAAGAACATTAAATTTCTAACGGCGCGTCGGAAATGTCGGTTTTCGCGCAATTAATATCCCTTTTAGCGTTTTCGTTATCCTTCTCCGTCGGGTTAAACCCGTTGCACGTTAAGCCCCCGTAGAGTTAATCTTCCTTCGATGTATCGCCGTTACCGCAAACGCCTCCGCGTTGGAGGCGGAGGCAGTTATGCGCCGTGTGCAACACGGAGCAATTAAGCATCGGCGTTGTGCAACTGTATATTTTGCGTGCGCTTCGGTAAAGTCAGGCACCCTTAAGCTTCCGTCTGATCGAGAGCAAAGCTACACGGGGGCTGCAAAATCGCATGCGTACCCGCACATGTGCGGTCTTACACATGCGTTGCACGCGCGTTTATATAACCGATATCGCGGTAACAGACTGCCCGAGGAATTATATGCAGCGTACGCGAGTGTATAGTTATTATGACAATGTAAGGCAGAATGTAAAGCGGAATAAGTTTGTAAGAAAAAAAGGCAAATGAAACTTTCACGCAAGTTGTATCGAACAGAGAGATGCAATAATCGTGATACATCGGAATACAGTTTACAAAGGACGCTTTATGTTTCTGATGAATGCACAAGATAAAAGTGTGCATTCTCTCTCTTTCTCTCTCTCTCTCTCTCTCTCTCTCTATCTATCTCTCTTTCTCTTCACGCGCTTAAATTATTACAACTAGATTAAATCGTTCGCGTGGTTGACTTTATAAAAGAAAGATTATATTCCTTCCGCGTTCCCGCGCACAATAAAATTATTGTACATTTCGCGATGCTATCATCGATTATGAGTCATTCGTTAAACACGTCAGCGCGCGTGATAACGTATATACGATACAAAGTAATGATGCGTACGCACGAGAATCATAAACAATCGTACCAGCGTTTCAAATTAAATAAATATTTAATGGGATTGTAAAGCATGTGCCCCCAGCGCGAAATGCAGGACAAATGCAATTGCAAATTGCAACCACATTGCGCGTATGCGCGAGACAGTGAACGATCTACCCTATTTATTTATCCCGCTCTCGATCACTGCCAATTTTTTGCGCGACAGTTCGCTCCATCGCTACGGCGATTTGCGAAGTGAAGCAGCCGTAACTTCATGCGTCCGAAACGTACTGGCAGGCAGCATTGCTCAAATGTCAAATTAACCACCGCGCGCGCGTGGTAGAAGCCATGCAATTTGCGCATAATTGGAAATTCCAACGTTTATTCTTCCCATATCCTGAGTGTACCGTTACGGGATAACCCGAACAAGAATAAAGCAATAACTTTTCGGACTAATTCGCGTAAATGTCAACCGAGTTATATATAAGGGTCACGGAGCAAAGAAAATGAAAAACAATGTCCTTTAATACACCCTGTTAAATGTATTAATTTACATTTTACGTGTAAAATGTATAACGTAAAATATTATCGCATCGTATTAAGAGTTTAGCGATATACACAAGATATATAACTTGGAATATATAATGTAAAAGTAATCGGTTTTTATTCTCTTCTTTTTTAGAATTTGTTATTCAATGAATTATTGCCATTAATTATATATCTCTCGTTATTGCATCACGGATATTTCAGTGAATAATCCACATTCGTGCATATAACTAAACTCCTAAAGATAAGACGTAACAATTTTAAATAGCAATCTTACGTGTAAAAACAACTTTAACTGCAATCTTTTATGAAGCGTTAGATGAATGGAAGTTACTTATAAATTAACCCGTCAGCAAAAGTATATCCTTTTGTAAGTTTTTGGCCGGGCTCCAACTGTGGGAGGAGACCACGAATAGCCGTGAATGTCATTGAGTAAGGAAAGATACAAATGACGTTAACTTTTGCGCGATATTCTTCTCGACTAACTGTCCCGAGGATGTTCAAAGAGGCTACCTCCGATGTGCTAGTTTAAAATCTCATTCATTCTCGCGCTAATAGCCGCGGAGACTTCGGCCATGCCGTAAAACGAGTTTCCGAGACATTCTTTTATTCACGTGTTGACACGAAGCTACGGGCTCTTTCGGAGCGATGTTTCAATTAAAAGTTTGAGAGGATTTTTTTTCCGTCCCTTTCATCCGCTTATGTACGATGCCATCTCGCCCGTGGTCGCAAGTTAACGAGTACGCTTAAGTATACTACTTTCTTCCCCGCGTTCTCTTTCCGAGAGCTCGATTCTTCTCTCTGTGACGCTCAGAAAAAACAGATTGTCAGATATACTGATTATTTTGCAAGACGATTACTTTGTGCGACATAAATTTGAGTGAGCCAACTTCTTCCTCCTCTTCTCTGCTCCTTCTTCTCGCGCGGAAGCAACTCCTTTTCACAGGAAATGGAAGTGTACCTTATCGCGATTACAAGTCCATTTATCTCGCATAATTTATACACGAGGTAAAGCTCGAGCGAAAAGTTTGCCGTAATCGTTAGCATGATGATAGCACACGAACGTATACTACGTCGGGATGAATTTTTCGCGTTTCAGAAGAATTTCTCGTATTTCATGGCACGACCGGCTTAGCCGTCTGTCTCGTGGATATTCTGGAGGAAGAAGGATACGATAACGGAATTTGCCACGTACTTCATCTTTACTCTCCTTTGATACGAAACGTGATCTCCTGCAACAGTGACACGACAGCAGTATCGTGTATCGCGTCTTTTCTTCGCCGCGCGCACGACAAATTTCGATACGGTATCGTTGAACGTCGAGATCAAACAGCGTGACATGCAAAATCGTCGATTTAATAGATCACTTTAAAATCGGGTCCGATAAAAATCCCGTGGAGTGCAGGAATACCATACGACTTCACTGTTTCTCACAACATTTTATTATACTCTTTTCTTTTTTTTCTATCTTTATAATCTTTAATATAAATTCCATGACGATCTTATCTTGTATCTACTACTTGTGCTACTTAGAACGAGAATCGACGGCGACAATTTCACTGAGAGTCGTTGTCAAAATACGAAAGCATGAACTACGGGAAATGATACACGCCAGTTTTATTGAGATAGAACATGATTACCAAGATAATCCCGGAACCTAGAGTCCGGGCAAACATAATTACATTATTACGGATTACAACGATTTGTGCGACAACTCTCGTGGCCTGGCGAGATAAAAGCGAGAAATCCTAACAACGGAAATACCGTTTGCGGTGGAAATGCACGCGATACAGTAGCAAACAACTTTACGAAGAAAAGTGAAAAAGAAGAGATATAAAAAGAGGGGAAGCGAAGAGAGAAAAAGCGAAAAAGAGAAAGAGAGAGAGAGCGAGAGCGAGAAGAAAGAAACAGAAGAAAAAGAGAAAAATACAACACGGCCAGGGTCACCGGTTAATCCAAATCTGATGTATGACAGTCGAGGCTGCCATTTGCTAGCTGTCATCCTTGCCACCCCCGATCCTCCGTCTTCTAATACCATCGCCGTGGAAATGACAAACGGTCGAAAGTAGAAAGATAACAAGGTGGCTTTCGAAGAGGGAATGAGCCCTCGAGGCGCGTCACGTTGAATCGCGATGCTTAAAAAACAGCAGAAACGCCACCGCCATGACTTTTGGCTTCGATCGCACCATCTACTTCTTACATTTGCCGTCACTTGTGAGCACGTGGATTAATATCTTACCCTCGTAGAGCACGTAGCGCAAAACTCGACTCAAGTCCATTTCCAGCGAATCTTCGGCATGTGTGCGACGTGGTATTAGAGATGAGAGTATATTATAGAAATAACAGTACATATATATAATTCTTTTTGTTCTTGCTGCCCCTGCGGGCTGTTATTACACTAAGCTTCTTGACGTGTGATTTCTTGATTCAACAATCTGGTCCCTTTTATTTCTCTTAATACAGCGTTGATTTCTGTGCGGGGGGCATGCAACAGCGGAAATTCAGCAGTTGAGCGAAATAATAATTGGTAAGTCAATAATTGTGAGTCATACATTTTAAGCGGTATGATAATTACGATATTATAGTTATGATAGTTACGATAAACTCCGATTCAGATTTTTGGTCTTTTTGTTTTAAGTGGTTTTGTTTGAGATATATATTCTGTTCAAAAGTACTTTAGGCAGTCCCGCTGATCTAGAAAAATTGCTATAATACATTAACAGGATTTCATACGAGGCACTTTTATAAAACCTCTCACTTTAATGAGAAAAATGCGACTTACGTGATATATTTATGACTCGCGTTTCGCTCAACGACTCAATTAAGAAGAAAAATTAGGGGAGAGGAAAAAAAAGACATTCGGAAGAGTGATAGATTACGCGAGTTACGCGAGTTACGCGCTGCTCTATGTTTGTTCACGCAACATATCAACGTTCCGTGAAAGAGAGCTGTCGATTATTCCGAGTGCACGGAATTACTTACGGCATTTCCGATCGATAATTAGAGATCTCTTTTTACATGTTCATTGCGTTGCACGGAGAGCGCAGTCACGGCTTTCGGCAGCGCACTCGTTTCGTTAATGAGATGAATGCGCCTTTTGGTGCTAATTAGCGGAGATTACGAGAGAGAGATGATGAATCGATATCCGATTTCCGTTTCTGCGATTCGCTCTTTTCTGTAATAATATGATAAATGTGTATTTCTATTCCTAAGGCAGCGCTCCGTGTTCCGTCGTGTATCAAAAAGCGCTAGTATTTGCGGCAAAGCGTTTTGCATATAAATTATAGCGAGTGGGAAGATACGTTGGTCTGTAATACTTTACAGCAAAATACTATGAATTGCATGCAGTAACAAGCTTTCACAGGAAAAAGTCAGCAACGTAAGTCAATATAAATGTCTAAATTGAACGATGATATTGCGAAAGCGGAGAAGCGTCAAAGCGGATCTCAAAAATTCACTATAGATAAACGATTCTCCTTGCTGTTATATAAAAAAAAAATTGTCAATTGTAATCTTTATTTTGCTTTCGCGCTCCAACGACAACCGAGTATACAATTTTCACAAAATAATTTTGTGATATTTATATGTTTTAAGATAATATGCTTTTAAGAAAATATTTTAAAGAGAAACTCTTCTGTGTATTAACTAAAATTTAATTTCAAACATTTGTAAATTTTAATCATAACAAGTCGACAATGTGAAAACGACTACGATTATATTTTCGTAAAATTCACGGTAATAAAAATTCTTGATATTATACAACGCGAAAGGTAAGTTATTTGCTAATTTTCTTGAATACATAGATAGAGTGAAGAAGAGACGCTAAGAAGATTGTTTAGTAACACGATCACATAAATAAATATTTATGCACAACGGAACACGAAGTTTGATAAGATTACACCAATCAATCCTTGAAAAATGATCTTTCAGATACCTTCTAAGGCAGTATTTGCAGCCGAAAGAGTTTAGCATCGTTTCACGACGACAGTAAGTACGGTGGTAGTAACATCATTGTTAAGCCGTCTTTGTCTTACGTATAGTTTAGAAAGTTTATTTGCCTTGTCAAATACACCTTCTAAATCGGACGACTTCTGGCACGCTTCTAACCCGCTTATCGATTTTTTATAGTCATGCAGCAGCTGTAATATTACAATAATTGCTGTATTAACACCAATTTACCAGCTTTGTGTGTGGCTTGTCATTATCGTGAGTCCGTATTGTTATATAACTTTAATAATATTAGAGCGCGCGGATTTTCGACGCGTTTGTCAGGGCGTTCGATTATTTACAATAACAATAAAGCAATTTTATTCGGTGTGTGTGACAACTCTACTCTACTCTACTCTATTCTAAATACGTTCCATTCAACTAACAAAGGCAAAAACTTTAAACTCATTCCGCAAAACGTGTGTATCATATGGACATATAGTTATAGCTATAGGCTAATGACAATCCGTACGTCCGTCGAAAGAAAATTGTCCAGGTATACGAACGTGTGGTGTATATGTATATTTCTGGCATTGTTACTTTGGCGAGAACTTAATTACCTGAGGTCGTTGGCCCTGGATCTTCTCATGCCGCGCGGCGGGTGTCGCGGTGGCGGCGTGCACCTGCAGTCACAGTGCATCACACACAGCGCGACGCTGGTCGCGAGAGTCACTACGAAAGGCGCCGCGAAGAAGTGCATGATGGTAGCGACCTGTGCCTCGCGGTTATAGTTCGCCATCACTATGCTACCGTTCACCCGGCTATAATGGCAGGGAAACTTCGCGCCCTCGTAACCCAACTCGCGGGTGAAGTTCTTGCAATCGACTGCCGGCGGATATCCGCAGCCCTTGATGTTCACCAGCAGCACCGCCTCGACGTCCCCCGGGGACGAGGACACTGCTCGACAAAGAGATATTTTACAGCGGAGATTAGCATCGGGGGTGATTTTGAATTTTTATGCTTGCCGAGCACGCATGCAATCCGCATGGCAACGTTGATCTACCAAATCGGAATGTATTCCAATTTCTCTTCGATTTCCCAGGCGATACATTCTATTTTATAGTCAAATAACAGCAGAGAAAGAGGTAGCGATACCCATTACGTTTTTTGAATTTTATAGATTCCGTCCGTTATGTCACGAATTTCACGCCCAGCTCGATGACATAAATCGTATGGACTATCTCACGTTCAACATTGTTATGTTTCGAAACAAAAATCATATTATTATATTTCAGATATTTCAGATTTTCTACTTCGTACTTTAAATTTCCTGCCTCTTTCTCTACAGCGTTACTTTAGTTTTTTTCTTTTTTTTTTTGCCAATCCGCGGATTTAATGTCCAATTTGTTTTATCACTAATTATCGTTCTCAATTACATTATCTATATGAAAGATACGAGAAAAGTGGGAAATGCTAAGGACCGCTGCGACTTAGTGATCCTACCGGCAGTGACGGTGCCCAGATCGAACGTGCTGTTCGCGGTGGTGGTGTTCCTGCCGCCGGTGTCGTTCTTCATACTGGCGTTACTCCACGGCGTGTACGTGACGAATATGTGCGTGCAGCTGTACACATCACTGGTGCATCCCTCGCGGCACGAGCTCCACGTGCAGTTGAAGAGACCAGCGAGGTCCTCGCGCCGCGAGGTCGTGCAGATCACCGGCTCCGGCGAGAAGTCCGCCGCTAGGGTGCTGATGGCCGGGTCGACGTAGAGCGGCACCAGGAAGAGGAGCGCCGCGCCGCCCGAGGTAGCGACGAAGGCCAGCGCCGATGTCGCGTAGAAATTAAACCGCTGACGGCAAGTACGCCGTGGCGGTCGGCGCCGCGACGCGCCGAACCCGAGCTCCAACAGCTTGCGACGACGTAGCTCCCGCTCGGGAAAGTCGTGCTCGCCGCCGCTATCCCGACCTTGTCCACGATCGTGATCGCTCTGGCACTGGCTGCAGCTCGCCTCCAGCAGGAGTTCGGAGCTGCTTCCGCGCATCACCCGGGACGGCTATCTCGAGATCGAGACCACGCTATACGCGGCTAAGCTTCTTCTACGGCTTCTCCTTCTCCTTCTTCTTCTTCTTCTTCTTCTTCTTTTTCGGGTGGTGCTGGCTGCTGCTCGATGCTCGATTCTACGATTCATCGAGCGCGCCGATCTACAGGCCGATCATCGCTTCGTTCGTTAGACGCGGTTTACGGGAGGGGGAGGGGTCCTTGATCCTCCGGGATCAACTGTCGAGCAGACACGCATCGATCATCGGTTTCCTCGTGGACGACTCGTGCGGCAGGGTACCGGGGATCAAGTGAACGCGATCGCGATTCCGTTTTTCGCTAGGAAGCATTGAGCGAGGCCGTTTACTAACTCGTTTGCGAAATTCGATGTATGGTAGTCAGGTAACTTGGTCGTGTGGACCGTTGGGGATTTCATCGAACGATATGAGTTCCTCGATATAAAAAAAAAATAAGGATACAATTTGCGCGGAAGCTTGCCCGAGATTCTCAATCGACGACCTCGCGTTATTGCTCTATCGTCGCGGATCTCCTTCCGAAATCTCGAGGAGCACCATGAAGCAAGATCTTGCAATCGATGCTGCGCGCCATGCAAAGCACCAAGCACGCCTTCTCGCGATGGCCTTGGCTCGGCATTACGCGAACAGGATTCGACGAATTCGATTATCGCCCCGTCTGCATCTTCTCAAGTTCGACGCTTGCTCGAGTAGGTACTTGTAAATCTCGGCATCGTGTGTAGATAGGCCACGGTACTACGGCTGCACCTCTCTCGACTCTCCTCCTTGGGCTTTTCAGCCGTGGAAAGTCCCCGCCTTATCGCTATACATAACGACCTTGCACGCTTTAAGGTTCCTTTGGGTTATCAAATTGAGTCGATCGATCACGACCTTTCAGCCGCTGCCGTTTTGCAGGAAATCATGCATTTCGATAATGCGCGCGCGTAGCAGCCCCCGCGCACGTATATGAAAAATCTTCGAGAGGGCTGGTGATCCACACGCGTTTAGAAAAGTCGCGTGCTATTTTCAAAATTGTTAATCAGTTGATCCCAAGTTAGGCCTGTCGTTCGTTTTCGTTTTTTTTTTTTTTTTGTATCGGTAAGGCGCACGTTGTGATATTTGAACGACGGATATCGAGTCAAAGGAATTCGATATCGCGTGTGTTAAACTTATATGGCAAGCGCAGATCGACGTGACGCGACTGTTTCTACCCCTACAAAAAACGGTTGCTCACCAGCTTTAGGACCGATCGTAAATTATGCTAATTAGAGGAAGCCACAATTGTCAACATTTTCTTCGCTAATGAAGGCGCTTTTCGTCCGGGATGTCAGCCGTTGTGTGCTAATCGTCAGGTATCCGCGATCAACAGCGATCGCGACAGGTGCTTGACAATCAGTCACGCGCTCCAGATCGATCCACCGAAGTGCCGTCTGTCTGTCTCCACCGGAAGAGTATAAAGAGCACTCGGCGCACTCTTTGGCGATTCAAAATCCGTGCGAGCCTCCGCCGGCGAATCCTGATAGCGTCTCGACGCGATCTACCCGTCGTCGTCGTCGTCCCGCCTGGTTCCTGCGCCGAAGGACCATTCGCGGTAACACTTAACGGGTCCCGCTTAACACCAGCTCACATCCGCAACTGGTTGCCACGCAGCGAATACTTGGCATCGACATCGGTCGTGTAGCCGCGATTCCGAAATTCCCGTCGCACACGCGACTATCCCCGTCGCCGTAACGATAATCGATCCGCCGCCGTCGATCCTTCCTGATGGGTACATGGGAGCACACATACACATACACACATATACACCGGCCGCCGCGATCGGATCACGATGATCTCGTTGATCTCCTGCGATCTCGGAGGGAGAAACCGTGTCGCGGTGAAGGCGCGACACAGACCGGGGGACCAGGACAGATGTTCGCGGGGCCACCACCTCCTCCTCCTCCTCCTCCTCTCGCGTACGAGCACCAGCGGCGTTCCTGGCGAGTGCCGTCCGCCTCGCGGATCGCGGGTTAAAGCGTGACTATTCGACCACCTCGGCGAGGAGTCCTCGACAGGACAGGCTGTGGTCCGAAGCGACAGGGCGGGGTTCCAGGCGCGCATGAGCGACGGGTACAATCCCTCGCCCTCGTACCCCGTCGTGCCACCCCCGCGATGCATTCTCCTTGTTTACGCTTCTGCCTGTCCCGCCTAGCTTCCTCCGCTCTTCTCTACGGGATGTCCCAAAGCCACCGTGTGATGTTGTTGCAGCGATCGAAACTCATTGACACATTGATGTCAATTTCTCGAGACGAGATGTAATTTTGCGAGAATGGCTCTTACAGCTTTATCAGAAAGTACATTTGTCTCGTTTATAGAAAAGTTACCTGATTGCGTGTTATCATTGTATACCGGCCGGGATTTAAAACGTCACGTTTTTGAAGATATTTGAGCAAAACCATTCAAGCCATTAAAACTTTGCATAAAAATTCTAAATACTTAAATATTTCAAGGAGAAAGAAAAGGAGAGAGGGAGAATATAATCGAATTTAAATTAAAACATTAAAAATTGGCGCTTCAGAATGAAATACTTTGAATATTAAATTAAAAAATATTTTTCAAATTAAATATAGCGAATGAAAGGTTCACACATTTATAAATTATGTCTAATTTGCAATGAGTGAGTCTATTCTCAATCGCAATTGTAGCTCACAAGATATCGATATTTCGATAATTATTAAAAAATATATATTTTTTTTTTAAACGAATGGAAAGTTTCCAAAATATTACCCGATAGATCTGGGACACTACATATATATGTCGCGCGCAAGCAGCACTTGAACGCGCATTTTGTCCTCTCCCTCTTTCACTCTTCTATTACCATCTTTTAATTATGTCCCGTAATGAAGCCAATTTTTTAATCGTGGGGTCTTAGCTCTTTCGCATCAAGGCGACATATGGATAGATGAGTGTTTTAAGGCTCTTTAAAAATCGTTTGGCGTACGGTTGTTCAATACGGTTGTCAATCGAGTTTGCATAAATTAAGGCGCAATCCATGACACATATAAGAATGAATTATGGAAGTTATATAATGGCTTCTTATTGTTTTCAATTTAATAAGAAAATATAGAGAGATGGTTCAGCGTTGTCGGATGAGTTCTTGAAAGATTTTGTGAATCGTTCGGATCAATTATCTTATAATTATCTTATATAATGGCCGCTTCCATCAGCTATAAAACTAACAATAAGATATGAAAGCACCGTTATACAGTCCTATGGTTGGTGGCATATCGATCTCGCCTGTCTCCACTTTTATTTACGGGGCTGTTGAAAGTAGACTCCCACGTACGGAGTCTACTTTTGCTGTAAAGTAGATTTTATTGCGCGCTATATATATATGATGTTATATACCGATAGTTTCCGAGATCATAGCGTGGAAGATGGGGACTTGGAAGGCGATCTACTTCCCTCCAGAGAGTCGTCCTGATTGTTACGTGTGTGTCACGAGCAAGGCTGCACGATCCTCGCGGGAGCGTATCGTCGGGGCCTAACGACCGGGTTGACGAGCGCGGCGGCGTCGTTATACCGATCGTCCCAGATCGTCCCCCCGGCTACGACCCTAATTCGCCACTTGAATCGCGATACGAATGCCTGATACGCGGGACGACCGCCCGGGAATTTATTATAACTGCTATAAGCCCCCGCGCGTGCTTTTCTCACCCAGATTGCGAGATCGGATCGCGCTTCCTTTCCACGGGCCAAACCCGCGGCCCGGAGAGCTCCGGTGATTTAGGTGACGGCCCGGAAACATTAGGTCACACCTATCGTCGGCTGATAGCGACGACTCCGAGGAACGCGTGTCAGCATACTTATCGGAGTTCGCACGCTGAGCACCCGTCGTGCGACGTCCTACGTTGATTGATACGTGTGCCGCAAGTTCCCAAAGTGCGCGATAACTTATAATAGTCTCAAGTTTCTCTCAAGCTTCCAAAGTTCGCGACAAATTAGTTTTTACATATATCTTCCGCAGTGCGGCATTATCGCGAACAGTAATTTTTTATCCTTCTCTTTGTTACATCGAATTAATTAATTTCGATGTAACAATTAAGTAATTACCCAGTGATTTTTAAAACGGCGATTTTTAATTACTGGATTTCAAGAATCGAAAGATGATATACATATAATTTAAATTAAATGTCTTTTAACAAGATAAACGAGATATCGCTCTCATAAAATATATATTTATATTTTGAAAAATATATGTTTTCTCTCAATTAGGTAAATTTTATTTTTATAAATCAACTAAATTTAATTTTTGTCTTATTATATATGTACATGTATAACATACACATTCACACATAAAAAAATATATTATATATATAAATGTGTGTATGCGTGTATATGTGTTTTATGTATGTATGTATATGTATGTAGGTGCCTTAATTCCATTTAGCAACACAAGCATCATTCTGTCTTTGTTGTCATTGAATATTGAAAAAAGACAGAATGATGCTTGTTTTGACTTGTGACTCGCTAAATGGAAGGCATTCATACAATATATATACATATATATACACACCACGTATTATATATACATACATACCACATACAACATCATACATATATGCTTCCATTTTTCACTTTTTGTTCCGTGGTCACGTGGTCGGATGGGGAATATGAATAAGAGAATTGTACGAAGTCCCTAGTGGAGAGACGCGCACTGTCGCCACTGTCCAATGTTAACGCGATATCGTAGAAAAGTTGGCGGACTTGCTAGTCCAATCGCCCCGCCAATCACTGCACGTCGTTACAGCCAACGTCCAGCCAATGGGTGCGTTCCGCGAAGCGCATCATGCGCACGATATATCATGGTGTCCTTGTTGTTCATTAAACGTTAAACAAAGATAAAAAGATAAATCTTGCGCATGATGCGCTTTGCGGAACGCAGCCAATGCCGTCGTTGCGTCTCCCACAATGCATTGCGCCGCAACTGGCGAAGTGGAAATTGCCATATTTAATTGCCACAGCTCCCCTCGTCGATCTCTCTTCGTCGCCGGACGCCATAGTGTGCAGTTGACTCAACAGGACGGGACGCGTGGCGAAGGAGCTTCGGTCAGAAGAGACGGAGAAAAGAAGGAGCGGAGACCAGGGTTTCATTCACGGCATACGGAACACGGAGTGACAAATGGCCGGAACGGAGACCCCGAACGTGAAGCCTGAGCCAGCGAACGCGCCAGTCGAAAACAGCAGCGACAATATGCGTGATCGTAACCCGGCCGGCGGCGGCGGTGGCGGCGGTGGCGGTGGCGGTGGCGGTGGCGGAGGCGTTGGCGGCGGCGGCGGTGGCGGCCGCGGACCTCGTGGCCGAAAAGGCGGTACTCGTTTCTCGGGTGGCCGTGGAGGCATCGGCGGAGGCGGCGGCGGCAGGAACAATGAAGCGGTAATTCCTCTCTTTCTCTATCGATTTCGCGGAATCGCCTACGCGAGCCAAGAGATCGCCCTGCGCCCAGCAACGCTGCGTCGTGCCGGCGCCATTGCGTTGGCGAGACGCGGCGTAATTTATTTTCGTATCAACTACGCATTTATTCCCTCGATACGCAGATTGCGAAATCCCTGGCGCGTTCGCCGCAGGCGCATGGCGTTCGCACAGGCGATCTCGTCGTGGGCGTCAGGGCGCGTTTCCGGCGTGACGAAAAGCCACGCGCCAAAATTCCCCTCCCCCCTTTCCGGTGTGAGAACTGAGGCTACAGTTCGCTTAATGCTACAAATGCTTCGAAGCAATTTTTTTTTCCGATCAATTAATAAAATTCTGATTAATCAAATGCTTCGAAATATTTATTAAGTGTTAAGTGCGAACCGCACCCTGAGATAGCTTCCGGAGAATTGCTCCGTTTTCGGCAGACTGCCACGTGATCATTGTATAATTGGAGTCATTGTCGCGATCGCGATCGGTGTGTTTCTATTTCCATATGTTTACGATACCGCGTTAGCATTGAATCCAAAAACGGAAAGTCGAAAGGATGAGTCGTGTCTTTGAATTCTACGCCGGTCAAGTAGATGCAAAATGGCGCCTTTGCATATAAGATGGCGGTGGGCATTCTTAAGTTCCCGCGTTGCACGTGGCTGATAAAATCGCTGAGAGATTAAGATGTTTTTAATGTTATCATATGAATGGAGTCGATATCTTTGTTAAAAGATATCGATATACATACACATTTTGTATAGTAGCAATTTTTTAATAATCACGTTAATATATATATATATATTTTTTTGTTAAGTAAATTATAAATAATAGAATTTAAATTTATTTTGCAAGTCACTATATATTGAAAGTAAAATGTACAAAATTGTAAAGATGGAAGGTATATTTAATTGATTATAATACATTTTTAAGGTCATTCTACAATAGCATAAACATAGTTGTAAGGTATAAGTTGTAAGAAACCAATTGGTTTTAATCGATTATTCTCCTTATATTTGACTGATTGGTCAATTTCTTACAAAACACAATTTACGACTTATGCTATTGTAAAACGATCCATAAAATCCCAGATTTTTCAGAAACACTTATAATCTTTTTACAGATGAAAATGAATGACTCCATGGATGGAGGCATGGATAATCCTATGCCCGAAGGGATGGGTGGTGGCATGGGTGGCGGTATGGGCAGCGGTATGGGCAGTGGTATGGGTGGTGGTATGGGCGGCGGTATGGGTGGTGGTATGGGCGGTGGTATGGGTGGCGGCATGGGTATGGGTCGCGGCGGTGCAATGCGAGGAGGTGGAAGAGGAGGTCGCGGTGGTGGCGACAGAAGCATGGCCAATAGATCGCAAGACGTAAGTTCACATCTTATATTCGTTATGGTTTTTTCGTCCGTGGTAACGTGGCTACTACTTGTATATATTACTTCTAGGATCGACTGATGGAGCGCGTCATGGCTATCAGTGGACCCACTCATGAGCTCCCACCACAAGACACGACAGAAAAGAAGTTCAGTGGTCGAAATCGTTTGTACGTTGGAAATTTGACAAACGACGTGAACGAGGAAGAGATTCAGACCTTGTTCCAAAAATTTGGAGAAATATCCGAGTTGTTTGTGAACAAAGAGAAAAGTTTTGCTTTTCTCAGAATGGTAATTATACGAACTATATATAATTATTTAATAATCAAGCAATATTGTTAAATCAATTTTCTTTGTGACAATGTAAGATGATTATAATAATTACCGTTTGACATGAAATGATAAGAAATTTCTGGCTGTATAATTTTGAAATGATTGCACTTTATTGTTATTAAGCTATTTCTTGTTTTGAACTTCAAATCAGACGATGATGGTTCTTGATTTCTGTTTTCAGGATTATAAAGCAAACGCCGATACAGCTAAGCGCGAACTAGACGGTTCAATGCGTAAAGGTCGTGCTCTAAAGGTACGCTTCGCTCCTCATTCGTCGACAATCAAAGTGAAGAATCTAACGACTTGGACATCTAATGAACTCCTTGAGAGAGCGTTCGGTGTCTTTGGCGAAATCGAGCGTGCAATAGTGAAAGTTGACGACAGGGGTAAAAGTACTGGCGAAGGAATTGTCGAGTTTTGTCGGAAACCATCTGCTCAATTAGCCCTGAGAAAATGCACAGAGGGTTGCTATTTTGTCACAGCGTAAGTTATCAATTTTCGATAAAACTTTTTCATAAATCCCCGACGCCACGCTTGTTTGATGTGTTCTAATCTGCAAGTGTCAAGTCAAAATTGTAGGGGTAGAGAGAAATTTAGTTTCACATAGGAAACATGGTTGATTAGTTCCATTAATCGCTGTGTGCTGACTCGTGAAACACATGTTTATTACAAAAAAAAAGATGAATGATATAAAAAAGTGAAAGTGTATACAAGATGTCGAAATTTCTGTTTCAGTTCTCTTCGACCAGTAGTCGTTGAGCCGTTTGAGCAGCAAGATGATGTGGACGGCTATCCTGACAAGAATTTACCACGCAAGAATCCAGAATTTTTCAAAGCGCGTGAAATTGGACCACGCTTTGCACAAGTAGGTAGCTTCGAGCACGAATACGGCACGAGATGGAAGCAATTGCACGAATTATACAAGCAGAAGGAAGAAGCACTTAAACGGGAAATGGCTATGGAGGAAGAAAAATTGGAGGCCCAAATGGAATTTGCTCGATATGAACACGAAACAGAACTCTTGAGGGAACGTATGTATTCTGAGATTATTTAATAATGTGCCGTCTCTTTTTATAATCGTATAAATTATTGTATCTTATATTACAGAATTGCGCATGCGCGAGGCGGATCGTGAAAGGCAGAAGAGAGAATGGGAGATGAAGGAGCGACAAGCCGAAGAGCAGAGGACTCGCGAAGAGGAATTACGACGGCGCCAACAAGAAGAAATGGCGATACGCATCAGGAGACAGGAAGAGGAATTGCATAGACGCCAACAGGAAAACAATTTGTTTATGCAGGTCCGTTAAGTAATTATCTATATATATTCATAAAAATCTGTTTTGGATATTTATAACATGTAGATGAATCAGTGATGTTTGACTTCAGGATGTTTATTATTATTGTATTTTTCTTGAAAGATTCGACATTCAATTATCATGTACTTATATACTTGTATCTTTTTATATTCTAGGAACAGGCAATTCGCAGTGGTGGCAAAAATTATGGGGATTCCGTCAGTAACAATGATCGTGATGGATACGGTCAACCTGATGGTAAGTAAATTAATTTTTATTTTTGGAAGAAAAAAATCGAAATTGCGAAGATGTCAAAACATAGCTGCAATCTATATATTATACATGTATAGTTATATAAAAGAGAGTTCTATATTATTTATTTATGTTCTATATTGTATTATTTGTTCTAAATTATATTAAATATAATTACAACTGTATGTACAAGCTCTAAACTAGCCAAACGTTTACCGTTGAATTATAGAACAATTTATGGCTTGTTTTTTTTTCAGCATTGTGATAATTTTATATTCTATCTTTAATAATATATTTTCGTTATTTTTTTACAGGTGGAAGCGGAATGCCAGTGGTAATGTATCCCTTTCATTTACTATTTTCTTCTATAACTTTTATTACAGCATTAAGTTTTTTCTCGAAACATTTGACTTTTCTATGGATATTTTCTTTTTTTTCCTTCTTGGGCGGTACAATCTCGAAATACATCCTCGTGCGTTTTGCGCAAACCTCATTACATTGAACGGAGTACTATGCCGTGCATGACGAAATGCAATTAGTTATCTTGGTGTATAGCACCATAAAATTACATAAGGAGGGTTGATGAACTCTGATATTATACCCAGTTGAGCATGCTCTTCAACAGAGTTCTAATGTCTGCAAAATTGCAGTAGATAATATTTAATATCTTGCTTTTAATTTAATCCATTCATCTGTATGTATTCATAAAAATCTGTTTTGGATATTTGTAACATGTGGAGGAATCAATGATGTGCTTAATATTTAGACAATGAAAGATGACACTTCAATACTGCATGGAGTGTCAAAATATTAACACTGATTTTAGTTACAAATTCTAAGTGATCTCCATTAACCGGCATTGCCGTTTGCAAAGATCTGTAAACGATTATACAGCTATTTCTGCTATTTAACTTATAAGCATACTTTCTACTAGCGACGAGATACGTTTTTGTTTTGCATCTAATATCGATGCACGGATATTCGAATTTATATATGATCTGTTCTTTATGAGGTGAAATCTTCATCGGAATTACCGACGCCGATGACTTTTATGAAAGTTTTGCTCAAAACCTCCGACTTCTGTGTATGAACCAGCATGCGAACAGCGCAATCTCTAAATTCTATCACAGCGTTGAAGCAAATTAATGAACTGTGACTTTCATAACAAGCATTCTACTATTCTCTGCTGCAAACGTTGCAGCTAGAAATAGCGACCATAATATCATCACCGTTAATCGACAAACGAATAAATTTTACTGAATAAGTTTTGCCCTATACCGATTAAATTATTAATATATATATATATATATATCGGTAGGATATTATAAACAGAGATAAATCTGTCATAATGATATTCTTGATTTTTCGAAATTGACTTGTTTGATCACGCCACACTTGGCTTACGATTGTAATATATAAATTACTAAATATATATTACAATCTATAAACTCTTTATACCTCCGAAAATGAATATTATTTAGATCTACAAACGTACTGCCATATTGGTCTCTCCACATGATTGCAGACAAGAGACTCTGACCTATTATTCTATTATAGCCTTAAGAATAACTCCATTTACTATGGAATATTGACACACTCGTAATTTAGTATCATTATATTTGCTTTATATATACTTTTTGTGATAAAATATGAAAAGAGTGTGGCAAAAGATTCATGAAGTAATACAATTCCATAGTAATTCTATTGACCAAGAAGTGCCCAACTAGATTTTTCTTCTAAATAACTATTAAGCTGTTACTTATAAGAAACTTATAAGAATATTTCCAAAGAAATTTAACCGTTCATGCACATATTTTTTTACAAAATCTCTAAGCAGTTAAATTTGAGTCTTATTTAATCATTCGAAACTTATAATCTTGAACATGATCGTATCTCTTGATACTTGAAAGAACTTTATAGCTAATATTCTTGCATATGTAGATATATGCTCAATGTAGGAATATTTTATGCATAGACACTGATTCGTAATATGACACATTTTTGAAACATTACGAATATAACGAAAATAGAGCTTGCTTCGAGACCTTGATCACGTCTCTTTGCTGCTTGCGTTTGTGTTCGGAGTTTCAGAATTGTGTTGAGCTTAATGTCAGTACTTTACTATTAAGCCTAAGATAATAGAAATTATCTTTGGCGTTTTCTCTCTAATGTAGAAAACTAATTTGCCATATGATAAAATGAATTTACCGTTTTTGTTCAGGAATATTTATTTTATATGCCTTTTACTAAGGTCTACTTCTTTGCTCTGAGATTACTCACGAGGTGAACTCGCTCTCCGAATTTCTACCGAATATATTATATGACTAATAGTTATGTCACACTCTTTGGGGCTGGGAAATGAAAAAAATTCTATTTAAGTCCACACCTTATATAGAATATATAGGCATACAAACCTGCGTTTGTACCATTATTATTTACATCTATGTGCAAATTGAAACATCGATTGCTTCAATTTCTGGCTTATTCATTGCGTGATACGTAAAATGAAATGAATTTTTCTTTCTTTCACGTTGTAGCTAGGATATATATTCCGATATATATTGGTTATATTATTGTCAATAATCCCAATAATGTTAGCAATAATCCCTATATAAATTTATCTTTTAATCGTGCTTCAACTCTAACTTGAAATTCAATTCCATACGGCGTATAGTACTCCGCGATTATATTTAGCGTTACGCTTGATGTGTAATTTCCGAGTTTTTATTTTTGAGTTGAAGTCATGTTTAAAAGAAAAGTGTAATTATTGTACGTGTGCGATACAATTATACAGTTTCGCGCACTGAGCGTATTTGTCTACTCACATATAACACAACAAAGTATTGTCTGTCTACGTTGGGCATTCTCTTGGTCTGATTATTGTCACAGAACATATCCGCCAAAAGAGATATATTAGTAAGAGCAGTTTACTGCCATCGACGACACAAACAGCAATCTAACATTGTGTTTTCCCCTTTCTTTTCTATGTGATTTGACGAAAATTGACGATGACCTGTGCTGCTGTCAAACATGGATGGTCGCCCTGAATCGTACGGAATGTACTTATGGTACATCCGCAATTCACGCGCACACGCGTATCGTGCGTTCCTCTGATGATGAAACGACATTCTCATCAATGATTAACAACAAACTCTCGGCTCCCCTATACGATTCGCATTCTCTGCGCGTTTCTATAGGACCCAAAGTCTTTTATGGACGCGTACAATATGGATCGCGGTAGTCGAGGGGGTTATAACGATGATCGTGGGCAAATAATGGATTTAATGGATATGAGGGTTGACATGGGTAATATGGGTGGCGGTCGTGGAGGTAGTGGTGGTAGTGGACGTTGGCAAGGAAATGACCGAAATCGCCCGGATGATTATCCTACCAAACGCCGACGTTATTAAACATTAAACATGCGCAGTACGAAGTCTTACTTCGCTGACTTCTTAACTAAATCGTACTATGTCCTTCGTTCATTCCTCACTTTTATATTATTTACCTTGGTAATTAACGAGGAAATGGGCAAGGAGTAGTGTTGAGAGAGAATTGAATATCACTTACGAGTATGATGTTTGACATCAATGGCATTAATGTGCTGATTTGAGAAATTCTGCTTGCGAATGAACGATGTATGAGAGTTTGGACTTGAACACAATTATAATATTTCTTTGATACTTTGACGGATTCTGTGTCCTCCAGATGACAATTCCTCTTGAGCATGTATTCCGATTAAATATCAACGATATTATTGGTGTTTTTACAAAAATTAACTTTCATTACTTTATTATACTTTTTAGAAATCTGCTCATTACTTTATTATACTTTTTAGAAATCTGCTATAAATTGCTATTTCGGAAATTCATGCAAAATATCATCAATTAAAAAGCAATAGTTAGCATGCTCCATATTTTATTAGACACAATTCCGCAGTTTCATCTTCGACTCGAATAAAAAATTATAAATTTGAGTCTTTATAATTAATATGTGTATTTATGATATATAAATATGAACGAGATATGGTCTATATGCCCATAAATATTAGACATACAATCATCAATAATTTAGGTTTTCATATTACATTTGTATCACAATTGAGATGCATACATTTATTACAAAGCAAGATTCAAAGTTACAATTTATTTGAAGATTTTGAGAAATGTAAATAACATAAAAATATAATAGCATAATTTTTTTGTTCTACGATGTTTTTGTTCTGAATATCATTGCTCACAGATTTTTATCAGAAATCTGTGTTATTGCTTTATTAAATCGTTCATTCTAAATTTGTACTGTATCATTTAGTTATTCTTTCGATAACAATAGTACTATTCATTTATCATTTAAAAGGCTTTAATTTAATTTTTTGTTATTAACTAGACTAGATTTTTTTGTTAACCTCATTTATTTTTTACTCTTTACCTGAATTATGAAAGTACTATCAATGTATAAGTGTTGACGTAAAAATGTCACGATTAGAACTTAATTTTCCAATTAAAATTTGCAATACGCTTGATTTGTCTTGAAAAGTAGTATTATGTTGTATTTCGTATGTCGAGTATAGTTGGATCATATACAAATTTATCCATTTTGAAATATTTATCTCAGTAATTATCTTAGTATATAAGTTACTATACATACATATATACAAATATATATACATACATATGCAGTACTATTTGCAAATATAATATTCAATACTTTGTGAAGAACCTTAATCTATATAGCAGCGTGATTTAAAAAAATAAAGATATATAATACACAAACGTACATATCTCTAATATCAATCAGTATTACTTTATCTTCTATGAATTACGTACATAATTGATCTTCTATGAATTATAGATTACGACTTTTGCTACTACATGAAATATTACATAAAATATTTGATGATCTCTTAATTTTGCTTTCAGTTCAACGATTTTCTATATCTTCTACATAGGAAAGGTTTGACATATTGATATTTTCAGGCAAAGTTTCTAACAAACATCTTTGGATGTTATATAATTTGTTCCTCTTTGAAAAAGTCTGCGAAAAAGTCTTATTATTTATTATATTTTATACACAGCTTAGAAACGTTGTAGTTTATAATAGTTATGTTAATAGACAAGACAATACGTTACGAAAATATATATAAAGCAAAGCGGTCTGAAAGTTTCCTATACTGGTTGAAATTTTTTTAATGTAAATTTCCTAATAGGTAATTATATCTAAAACAGCTTTTAAAAACTTGAGAATTTGAATTTATGTAATTACCTAATTATAATTATCATCTTATGTTTTTTTTTTTATGCAATAGATATGAAGAAAAAGAAAGATGTTTTTTATAAGGACTGTATTGTAATGCTTGTGATTAAAAAATCCTGTACAATTTTTTTTGTAATTTTTTTATTCTATTTATACTATTGGTAATTTTGTCTATTCGTTCGAGTCTTTAAGAATCATGCATAATGAAAGAAAAGAGTATTTTCCATCTTCAAGAATCTTTCACGTTCCAGTGCTTAATATTATTCCAGTGTTAAATAATATTTATTTAGAAACTGAATATAATTAATCAAGACTATTTTAACGGAGAGGAGACTACAATCACAAGATAGGCTTACTTACTCGAAACTGCTAATCAATGAACTACCTGTTAACGAGGTGAGTAGATTTTGTAAAACTATTATGCGTAATCTTATTTTAATCTTCGGGTGGGACGTTAAACATTAAGCAAAAATTACAAAGTCATCATTTATTAATCACTCAAATAAAAGTATCATTAATTATTTCTTAAATTATTAGTTTTTGTTATATGATTCTCTCTTTCAGTACATTATATTATGCGCTAGAGAGAAAGAAAAGGAGAGTGGACTGAGGATTACTTTGTAATGTTTGCTGACACACATTACTGTTGATTGGAATTTATTATAATGTGCAACTAATATATAAATAGGTGACTTTACATCTCGTAATACTTTCATCTCCGACTCGCTTAAGAAGAAAAACATGAAATCTTGTTCTAAATAATTATGTGATGAATGAAGCACTTATCAGCCTAGACAGCACTTCTTTTCACCTATGACAACCACAATATCTGTTGCTTTATGAAAGGGTTGTCTTGGTTTAGCTATTGAAATCTAGGCTGTGAGGACAGATAATTAAGTAACATGTATAACAAATTCTTACTTTGTGCCACTTTGAGTGGTAAGGAATACTCGCGATGAGTCTTGTACATCAATTCTGACAAACGATTTTATTATATAGCGATGATCGAAAAACAATTTCGTGAAATGGAAAATAGGCATTGACTATATAATGACTGATAGGAAGGAAATGTTTTTAGCATGCAAGGATATTGTATCTCGAATAAAAAAACAACACTAAATGGAGAAACGCAGATATTTGTAATTTACTAATTCTTGAGATATACGATGCAACTTTAAAAAATATTACGTGATGATAGAATGTACGTGGAAATCTGAGAAAGTTTCAGAGATTTAAAAAAAAGACTAAAAAATAATCTCCATGCTTTTAATACACCAGTTTTAAAAATTATATATATATCTTTGATACGAACATAGAAAAAGATTCTCTCACATTAAAAACTCGCTTTATTAAAAACGAAATTATTGTAGAAAATACGAAACTTATATTTTGAATCTTACTGAGATTTTTACGTATTTTTATAATTATTGCCGTGTTATACCACAGAATATTAGAATATACTAAAAAATTGCTTCGGCTAACAGAATTTGCAATTATTTTGGAGCACAAATTAGAAATAATTGTTAAATATATCTGATTTATTTTAAATGGAATTTAAAAATTTTTTCTAATTGACGATACAATTTAATAAATGCATAATATCTTTATAAATGTTCATGCAGTTTCAGTTTGTCATATTTCAGTATATATTTAACATATATTTTATATGATTTATCATTAAATTATT